ATGTGAGACAGTAAACATTGTCTCGCATGGCGAGACAGCAAAGACTGTCTCGCATGGCGAGGCAGTAAAGACTGTCTCGCGTGCGAGACAGTAAACACTGTCTCGCGTGTGAGACAGTCCATAATTGTGTTTTTTTTTGGATGATCTCCTCTTGAGCTATATTTGGATATCTTTCAGCATTTTTTAACGCCTACAACTATAAAAAACAATTTGTGTCATTTTTTGTTCATATCGACCAAATGACAATTAAGTATGAGTAGTTAAAAATTCATGATTTACATAGCCGATAACCCATAATTTTTCCCTTTTTTGTTTTGACCAAATGCAAATTAAGTATATGTAAATAAAAAATTGCTACTTTTATAGTCTATTTATTGGTTTTCATTCATTATGACCAAATAACAATTAAATATGTATAGTTCAAAGAAATTTATTTTCTAAGGCTATGACCCATGATTTTTTGCAATTTCTGTCTGATTCGACCAAACAGAAATTAAGCATGTGAACTTAAAATTTTGCAATTTTAACGGGCTATAAGCATGATGGTTGTTAATTTTGTTCCATATTGACCAAATGACAAATAAGCACGTGTACTTTAAAGTTCATGATATTCATGGGCTACAACCTACGATTTTTGTATTTTTTTTGTTCGTTTTAATCAAATGAAACTCAAATGTGCACATAAAAATTGTGGTTTTATAGGCCGATAACACATGATTTTCGTTAATTTTCGTTCATTTCAACCAAATGTCAATTAAGTACGCATAATTTAAAATACATGATTTTTCATGGACTACAACACTGTAATTTTCAACCAATTGGAAAGTAAGTATGTTCATATCAAAATTTTTGATTTTTATGAGCCATAAACCATGATTGCTGTGAATTTGAGCTCATTTCAACCAAATGACAATTAAGTATGTGTTGTTTAAAATTCATGATTTTCATGGGCTATAACCCATAAATTTTGTAATTTTCACTCATTTCAACCAAATGAAAATTAAGTATGTATAAGTAAAGACTGATTATTTTCATGGGTAACCTATGATTTTTGTTAATAAGCATTGAATAAACCAAATGGTAATTCAGTTTAGGTAATTTAAAATTCATGATTTTCATGGACTATAACTCATAATTTTGTTCATTTCGACCAAATGGAAATTAACTAATTAAGTATGTTTCAAAAATACAATTTTCATGGGCTAACCTAGGATTTTTTTTCAATTTTTGTTCATTTCGAATAAATCACAATTAGGGATGTGTGCTTAAAATTCATGATTTTCATAGGCAATTACCCACAATTTGGTCTATTTTTGTTCTTTTCATTCAAATCATAATTAAGTATGTGTACATAAAACATTACAGATTTTATAGGCAATAATCTACGATGTTAGTGAATATTTTGTTTGTTTCAACCAAATAATATATTCTTTGTGTGTACGTTAAAATTTGCAATTTTCATTAGTAACCCATAATTTTTGTTAATTTCCGTTCATTTCATCCAAGGAGAAATTAAGTACACCTATCTCAAATATTCATGATTTTCGTAAATTATAACTCAAGATTTTTGTCAATGTTTATTCATTTCGATGAAATAATAATTAGTATGGGTAGTTTAAAATTCATGATTTTCATAGGAAATATCCCATGATTTTACTCAATTACCATTCATTTTGACCAAAGGGCCGGCAATCAAGTATGTGTATATAAAAAATTGCGTTTTTCATGGATTATAACTCATAATTTTTTGTAATTTTGGTTCATCTCGACTAAATGCCCATTAAGTACATGTACTTCAAAATTCATGATTTCCATGGGTTATAAACCACAACTTCTATCAATAGGCTATATCCCACGATTCTTTCAATATTTGTTCATTTTGATCAAATGAAAATTAATCTCGACTAAATGACAATTAAGTATACACAATTCAGAATTCATGATTTTCGTCGATTATAAACCATGACTTTTATTAATAAGCTATATCCTATGATTTTTTCAATTTTTGTTCATTTTGTTCGAATGAGGATCAAGTATGTGCACATAAAAGTCTGCGATTTCAATGGTCTACAGCGCATGATTTTTGTCTATTTTTTTATTCATTTCGACAAAAAGACAATTAAATCAAAATTCATCATTTTCATGGGCTATAACCCATTATTTTTTGTAATTTTTGTTTATTTCAACCAAATGAAAAGTAAGTATGTGTACATAAAAACTTGCACTTTTTATAGGTTATTATTATTATATAACCATGTAGTGTCCATCTTGGTGCATTATGACCAAATGGCTATTAAATATGCTTAGTTGAAAATTCATGATTTTCATGGGCTATGACACATGATTTTTGCAAGTTTAGTTCTTTTAACTCAAATGGTATTTAAGTATGAGTACTTTAATATTTGTGAATTTTGTTAGTTTTAACTGAATGGAAATTTACTTGTGTACAATAAAATTTACGATTGTCATGGGTAACACACGATTTTTGCCAAAATTGTTCATTTTATCGAAATGACAATTAAGTACGTTTAGCTCAAAATTCATGATTTTCATAAGCTATAACGCAGAAATTTTCTTAATTTTTGATTATTTTGACCAAATGATAATTATGTAGAGATATATCCTTTTACAGGGTTTGCCTCAACCAATATGGTCTCTAAATATCCTTCACCGGTTTTTGGCTATTTTAGGCGATATATCCCTAATATGACCAATATGTTAGTTGATATGTTGGTTGATATATCCTTTTATATGGTTCTTTGCAAAACAATGTACCGCATTTGGCAATTTTCGGGCAAGATACATGATTTTTCCATTATATCAAATGTCATTTTGGCCTAAAAAAATAAGACGAAATGTTGCAATGTTGATTTGTACTTTTGTTTGTTTTACAAGGTCGATTAGTGATCCTAAACATATGTTATTCATATTATGTATGCTTAGATTTCATTAAGTATGTTGAGATTATAATACTATATATGCAAACATCCATTATGACATTTCTATATTTATCATGTATCCCTGATATCCGCAAACTGATATGAATTTTGGTCATACGATATTTCCCAGATAACTGATATTTAAAACCTTGATTATAAGTGATGAAAAATTAGAAAGGGAAACTGGTATAGGACCAGTAATGTTAAGAGCACTGTGTTGTTATGCTGAGGGATGGTGCCATAAAGTGTTGTGTTGCTAATATTAAGAGCAGTGACTCTTTGCCTTTGATGGCTGTAGAAAACACCCAACCAAGTGCAAAATGAAACGTTGGTGGTGCAATTGGTGGATAGAATGCTGCCACGAATATGATTCAACCAAGTGCAAAAAGAATTTACAAGTTTGCAATAAATCAAACAATTAACTTAGCTTTTTGAGTCAAAAAATATTTGAATAAACTTAAATTTTTGAAATATTTTCTTCATTAATATAACTACAATTCATAATAACAATTATAATATCCCAGTTACATATATTCATCCAAGTTTAGCTTAAAATCCATTACATTTATTTTTATTAATATTTAAATAAAATACTAATAAATCTTATAATTCAATTATACATATTTGAACTCAAGATAAATCTCACTTTTTTAAAGTATTGAAATAAATATAAATTTTATTTTGATATTCAACCATGTGCATTGCACGTGCATAAAAACTAGTATAGAGAAAACAGGAGGTGAGCTGCCGGCGTAGGAAATTTCCTACGCTGGCGCCATGTGTCAAGCTCTTATTCGCTGGATACACATTTATAGAATTAACAGATTTTAGAACGGTTAAATTTATAAAAAAATAAAAGGCCTTGATATAAAAATCACAAATCTCATACGCTTAACAGTTGGCTTTCCTAATTATTCCAAAAGCGAATAATTCCCAAAATTCCACTCCTTCATCCTTCGTCATCCCCCTCCTTCCCCAAGCGCCGGCGGCGAATAATTCCCATCACATCCCAAAACTCCCCAGAAAAATTCATCTCTCTCTCTCTCCCCCCTCCAAGAGCCTTCCTGCTCCGTCGGCCAACTCCACCGACCAACGAGGCAACGCTGTTATGCTGCAAGGGGTGATCTCGATAGTAATAATTATCTTTCTTTTTTTGCTTATTATTTAACTTCTTTTTTAAGCGCCTTTTGTCTTGATTAGACCATGAAGTCAAATAACTTTGAAAAGTTTGCACTTTGCTTACATTAGAATCTGAATATTCTGGTTGCTTGGCAACGTTTGCAGGATTGGGTGGGTCAAACATGGCCTACTCAATTTATGTGTTTAACTCGGAGGATTAAGATGTTCAGATTTTCTTTATCTTTTTTTTCTAATTTGAGAGAGAAGGTGGAATGTTACATCAGTAAGTCTATATCAATCGATGTTTCTCCGTTCCTTGTTCATATGGAGTGTCATAGTTCAGCAAATTTAAAACCCAGGTGGACCGTATACCCTTCACCTTGGCTTTATCTGGATTTGCTGGTTGTGAATATGGAATTATTAATGCAAATAGCAAGAGTGTTTGTATTATCAAGTATATAATTTTGTTTGATTTGATATCCAGGGTCTAGCTGATTCTGTTGGTTTGCCATGTTGAATAGCCCAAGGATGCAAGTACTGCACATTGCCGATCTTCAGGAGACGCTGCCACCAATCTTCAGGAAACCTTCGTCGATTCTCAAGCGAAGAACGGACGCCCTCATCATCCCAAACCGCCGATCTTTAGGAAACCATGTGATCTGTCATGAATGGTGGGATCTCGTTAGGGTTCCCAAGTTCTGTTCAGAGCAATGGTGGTGTTTGTTTTCTCAACGTTGTATGTTATTTGGTGTTTGGTTTTTCTTATGCGACTATGTTGATTGAGACTCAAGGTTTAATTGGAACTGGTTTGGAATTTAGTTGTTAGTTAATGTTTGATTTCAATTGTTTGTTTGATTATTGGGAAAATTATTACTAATATAAAACTGAATTGTACTTGTTCCCATATTTCAAGCATGATTAGATGCTAACCAAAAGAAGATTATGATAGAGAAAGTAAACTCTATACTTGTACTTCTGTGGACTTTTTTATACTGTGGATGATTGCTGGTTTTTCATATATTTGCTGGTTTTTTTGGATGATTTGATGATGTGTGTCAATATAACTATCTTGGCTATGGATGATTGTTACATGTGGTGTATGTGAATATTTACAGGTTTAATTTGACTTTAGATCTCTGATGCCAATTTGGTGGTGGAATTTTTGGATTTCTTGCAATCTGTGTAGGGTTTGTGCCTGAGTGGATTATGTGTATTGAGTACTATCCAGGCCTTCACTTTGGCTCCTCATCTTGTGACACTTTCTTCTATACTAGTGACCGCAAAAATTGCAGGTGGGTTGATTCTAGTTTTCTATTTATCAGATTTGAGTACGTTTGTTGTGAAAAGATCTTAACAGTGACGTCTGATATGAAAAAAAGATACACACTCATGCTAGTTGGTGCTTGAGCTCTCTAATGAACTTAAATCAAAAGATGTTACTGTTGATGCATGACTGGCCATACAATCTTAGTTCATACGATATGAGAGAAAACCATACACTCTAGCAGTCTTAGCCATACAATCTTAGTTCATACAAAATAATTTAAATGAAGCCATACAATCTTAGTTCATACAACATGAGAATGCGAAAACCATACACTCTCTAGCAGTCTACAAATCTAAACAGCCACACCATCAAAATCCAAGTCTTACATCAGAACATAATAAGTTGACATTGTTTGAAGACACAAAACTTGCTATTCCTAACAAAGCTAACTCAGCAAGATTCAAATATCATGAATTGAGAAGCTACTCCCTCGTAATTCGCAGACACTGCACCAAAAAAGAAGGGGATTAGAGTCTACTCCCTCGTAATTCGCAGACACTGCACCAAAAAAGAAGGGGATTAGAGTGCATTCTTCCAATTAATTTAATACAAGTGAAGAAGGGGATTAGAGTGCATTCTTCCAATTAATTTAATACAAGTGAATCCAACAAAATGTAATTAAGATCTAATAACTGAAACATTGCAACAGGAAACAAACAGAACAACCATTGTTGACACAATGTTTGTGTTATGGTGAGATAATAAATATCAGTAAACTCAAAGAACACTACACGGTATTAAATTAGGGGAGTATAAACATTAAAAAGGTTATAATGAAGGTCAAGCAAATATCAATGATTAGCTTCTGAAATTACTACAAACCTTTATGAATTGAGATGATATTCTGGGAAGATGCAACTATGGAAAAAAAATGTGAAAACAAAATGTTTGCGGTAAAAGTTGCTGTTTTCATTGCTATCGAATCTATTACAACTTTAGTCGTTACAATAAACTCAAATAAAATAAAAAGTTGATCTTTTTATAAGATCTCCTTACACAATGAAAATAAAAAGTTTACAACTTTATCAAACAAACGCAGATATCGTTTATCGGTCTTCTGCTTGCGTGGGATCTTTGTCTGTGTCGGGGTTTATCCGTGGACCACCGTCGATCAGATCTGATTGCTAAAAAATCGGTCAGAGCTTCGTCGATTCGCGAAGGAATCAAGAAGCTGTAGCGCTTATCTCGGCAACAGCGAGATAATTGCTCTTCTTAAGATTACCACAACGGGGTAATCTTAAGGGACGAATACGAGAACTACAGATCTGACGAGCTCTTCTTCTTTATGCCGACGAACTTGATCAGATCTCTACTCCTCCTTCTCTCTGAAATTCGTGCACCTTCAGTCTTCAATCCGACAGGGCTTCGCCTAATCTCCAAAATTCCAGATCTGAAAAAATAAGGCTTCAGGGGCTGTATTTATAGGTTTCCAGGAGGTTCGAACGGTTAAAACTGAACGAAAACCGTCAAAAACACGTCCCAAGTGCGAGACAGTTCGGGGTGTCTCGCACATGTGCGAGACAGTTTGTACCCTCTTCAGTATTTTGGCTCTAATTATTTAATCCGACCTCGGAATGAGGTGATTCAAGTTGTGTTGGAAAGATCACAAAAAAATATACAACTTTCATGTTTTGAGTTTCTTCATATTCCAATCGGATCATGGTGAAAATAGCTTCACAAGGTCCAAGACACCTTTGGGTGTCTTGGCTATTTTGATCATAACTTTCTCATATGACCTCCAAATGACCTGATTCTAGATATGTTGGAAAGCTGACAAAAATATCTACAATTGTTATTTTTTAAAATTCTTCAGATTCGAATCGGATCATGGTTAAAACAGCTTCACAAGGTCCGAGACACTTTTGGGTGTCTCGACTATTTTGGTCATAACTTCCTCATATGACCTCCAAATGATCTTATTCTAGATGGGTTGGAAAGATGACAAAAATATCTACAACTTTTATCTTTTAAGATTCTTCAGATTCGAATCGTATCATGGTGAAAACAGCTTCACAATGTCCGAGACACCTTTGGGTGTCTCGGCCAGGTCCAAGACACCTTTGGGTGTCTCGGCTATTTTAGTCATAACTTCCTCATATGACCTCCAAATGACCTGATTCCAGATGAGTTGGAAATCTGACAAAAAGATCTACAACTTTCATGTTTTGAGTTTCTTCAGATTTAAAACGAATCATGGTCAAAACAGCTCCACAAAGTCCAAGATACCTTTGGGTGTCTCGGCTCGGGCCGAGACACCCTTGGGTGTCTCGGCCTTGTCTGAGACACCTTGGGGTGTCTCGGTTGGGCCGAGACACCTCAGGGTGTCTCAACTCAGGCTGAGATGCTCCGTTATGCACGTTTGTTCGTTTCCGCCGTAACTTCTTCATCCGAACTCGGATTTGAGCGATTCAAAGTACGTTGGAAAGCTGACGAGGAGTTCTATAAGCTCCAATGATTAGATCATCTATGGAATAAATAAGACACGGAGGGCATTTCATCTTTTGTAAGTGACACGGGGCTCCCGATCAGTTCGTATCCTTATTATTCTGAAACTCCGTTGCTTCACATAATTCGTCAACCCACTTCATGTGTTTGTCGACATCAATCAAGCTCCTGTGACTTGGATAGTGACGTTCATCATTTTCTTTTAGCCTCGAGCTGTTCGTGGAGACCTATAGGTAATTTTCAACGCCTACACAAAACTCTTAACTTCTAAA